GGGGAGGAGGGATACTAGGGGATAGGAAAGGTAGCAGAATACAACAGTCACTAATATGCCATTATGTAAAAATGTGAGTATGTAACAGAAGTGAGTCTGCAATATGTATTTGGGGAGTTCAAAACCCAATTGAGTTAAATGTATGAAAGATGATATGTCTTGAGCTCTGTAATGTTTTGAACAATCAATAAAAAAAAATGCAAAAAAACGATTTAAATGTAAAAAAAAAATAAAAATAAAAATACAGTAGTAAATAAAAAAAATTAAAAAAAATAAAAAGATGTACAAAGTGCCTATAGGGTCATATGAGTAAAATATTAACACAGGTTACCTCTAAGTGGTGGAGTGATAGGGAAATGTGGTTCTCTTGTTCACACTTTTACATAATTTCTGAGTTCCTAATCATATATTACTTTTCAAGTTATAATAAAATAGAAGGGATTTTCATCTGGACCAACTCTGTTAGGACACATATTAACCACTCAAAAGATAATATACGATGGTGTTGATTTTTGCATAGGAATATGTTACCTTATCTGCAACTAGTATTTCTTTCCATTTCTTAAAAAATATATATATTTTTAGTTGTAGATGGACACAATATCTTTATTTTTATTTATTTATTTTTATGTGGTGCTGAGGATCGAACCCAGGGCCTTAATGCATGCAAGGCAAGCGCTGTACCACTGAGCTGCATACAACCCTAGCCCTCTTTCTTTTCCATGTTAAGGCCTTATCTCCCTGTTTTTCTTATCTTCCTTCTTTCTTTTCCTCTCTTCCTCTTTCTCTTCTCCTCCTCTCCCCTCAGTGTTTATCAGATACATTCAAGGAATGCTGATCAGCTCACACAGGGCCTAGAGAGCATGCTGTTGACTTAGGAATACAGAGACAGGAACTTTACTGCAATATGCTGTGCTTGTTGCCTGGATTCCAGGCTTAGTGGCGGTGTACTGTGGTCAGATCAGTTCTTGTATAGCAGGATAGCAGGGTTTGGGGGCTTAAATAGTCACTGAGACTATATTAATCCAAATATATAGTTTATTTCTAAGTTAAAAGTTTCATTTTCTATTCTGACCACAATCTTAGGATTTAACATAAAAAAATACTCAGTTCCTTTCTGTATGCTATAAAAGCAAGTAGGATAAGAAATCTAAAAGATAATGATATATAAATCTGTGATCAAGATGGATTTGATGACTGGTGTTTCACGTGAAAACCTGTCTTATCTTGCGAGGAGACATGCTTTCTGCCTCTTCCCTGTTGTTCCTGTCCATCAGCACAGTTGCTGAGCTCTGGAAATTCTGTTCTTCCTCTGCATTCATCCCTCCTCTTCCATTTGTTCTATGGAGGCTTTGTTTAGCCCCGATTACTTTCTTTTTGAACCATCATTTTCCCCTTCTTTCCTCACTTTTAAAATCTGCTCCCAGAATAATCATCCTGAACTGAAATCCCCTGAACAGAGTCCCCCACTTCAGCAGCATCCTTCATTGAACCTGAATTGACTCCATGATGGACCCTGTGTGGCCTCTGCGTCATAAGCCTACCTTTTCCTTATGTTCTCCTTGTGCACTGGTCTCCATAATGCCCTATGTGACAGCAAACTGAAGTCTCTGTGCCGTCCATTCCTCATGCTGTAGCTTTCTCCCTTTGCAAGTTTCTTCCAACTTTCTCTTTCTTCCATTTCCACCATGGACACCTCTCAGCATCTTTTCCATGACTCAATTTTTTTTTTTTGTTTGAAGTCTTCTGTAAAAGCCATTGCTGACCCCCTTATCCATTAAATGGACTTTCTCTCATTTGATCACTTATACCTTTTTTTTGTGTGTGTGTGCTTTTCATTGTATTCCAGCTTATGTCATCATAAGTACAAATCTTTTCTCCCTGATTAGATTTTAAGGAGCAAGAAACTATGAAGCAGCTGTCAAACAGACATTCATAGAAAGCTCTGATCAAGTTCTGCCTGTGACAGGGAGACTCCATGCTTTTTGGCTGCTGGAAGGACGTAGGACGAAAATGAAATGCAGTCAGACGTGGACATTCATTGTAGGAAAGGGATTTAAAAATCATCTGACCAGTGATTGAAAACATTTGAGATATTTAGACAAAGAAGAGGACTCTGAGGGGGAACATGATAATTATCCTCAAACACCTGATTCTTGCAACAGGTTCCTACAGGTAGGGTCATAATCAATATGCGGCAGCTGCAAGAAGTGGATTTCAGCCCTATTTTTAAAAAATAACTGTTTTGCAATTAATGCTCTGATTCTTCCCTTTTGTTCACCTCCATTAAGCATGAGAACAGTTTCTACTGGTTCCATTTCCAAAATATATCTCTTTTCTTTCTCTGTTGGCACCCTTGTTCAGATCCACTATTATCAGACATGGAGTACAGAGGAGTCTCCTTACTGAATTCCCCACTTCTTCCCCCATTGTATTGCAATCCATTCCCTCTGCATAACAGTTAAATGATCTTGAAATGTAATTCAGATCCTATCACTCACCTATTAGAACTTCTTGCTGCATTTGAAAATTTGTGTTCCTTACCAGGGCTTATCAAGGACCCTTGACTGAACTTCATCTAGTCCTACCTTTCTTCACCAACCCCTGCATGATCTCTGCTCCATGCAGCCTGGCCTTTTCTTTCTTTTATTTTTACTATAATTGAAACAGTAGATATTTGATGGCCT